AAAAAAAAAAAATAAATAAATAAAAATGGAAACTAATTTCAAAAAAGTAAGCTTTTCAGAAAACATGTTCTTAAAAAAAATAAAAGAAGTCAACTGCAAATAGTCAGAATATAATTCTTACTATCCTAAAGAATGGTCTTCACAGCCTTCAGATCATAATTTCATCCTTCCTGTCAAGCTCCCTGGTTCTTACTCTTTCGGGTCAGAATCATCTGTGGAGGGTTTTCAAAATTTACATACCCAGTGGTCTAGGGCTGGGAGAGGGTTCAGGTATGTTAAGAAATTTCATCTGTGGTGGGAGCATACAACAAAGTTTAAGAGCCTCTACTTTAGAAGACAAATGTGTGCCCTGGTAATTCTGGGAAAGTGGATTTATTCATTCATTTACAAATATTTTTTGAATACTTATTATGTACTAGGAAGTTCTAGGGCTGGGGACACAGCACTGAATAAACTTTATTAAAATATCTCTGTTCTCTTGACCTCACATCCTAAGAAATAGATGGTCACACAAAAAGTGAGAGAACCGCCTATATTCTTTCTCTGCCTACAAGACAGCTGATGAGGACAAATGATAGTTAACTGATCACAACACCCTTCACCCACCTGCCAGCCTAGCAATCCCAGTTTCACAGCAGAGAAGGAAAACCTCTCAGGAATTATGTTTGGAGAAACTGCCAGGCTACGGGGGGCCACTCCTCATAAGGAAGGGTAGTTTATGATTTCCCACATTGTCCAAAACAGTGCCACTCAAAGTGTGGTCTGTAGATCTACAATGGCAGCAGCACCTGGGAGCTTTCTAGAAATGCAAATTCCAGGCTCCACCCTAGATCTACTGAATAAGAATCTTCTGGAGGTGGATCGAGGAATGTGCTTTAACAACTTTCAGGTGATTTTTCTGATAATGTCAAAGTTTGATAACCACTGGGAAATTACAGTGTTTTGTATGCAGAGGCCACTCAAAAGGTGATTGATGGACCAAGTACCAGGTCAAAAAATTACCAATTTGCTTCTTATATTATCCAAACCACATTTGTACTATTTTTAACTGCTTTTACATATTATCCTTTTATCTTTATAATCTCATAAAGTAGGTAGAGCACTTATGATCCATGTATTCTTCCCAGATTTTATCACAATACCCAGGACATAGCAGCTGCTCCATAAAACTCTGCAGAATGAATGAACAAAAATGAACAAGTAGAAAAAGAGATCTATTACTAGCTGGAGCTGAATGCCTCCTTTTATCATACCATGCATGTCACAACATGATACAAATTACCCAAAAAGTAACATACTCTCCCTTGGAATAAATACTAAGCAAAATGGGAAGCAACTAGGATTAAAGGCATTAAAACAAAGTCATTTTGAAGTATAGTCCTCCAGCCACATTTTAAAAAGATGTTTTCTCTATGTTTAAAGAACTCATCCTTTTCCTTTTCTTTGATGCTTTTTAAAATGTAAGATTTTAGTAACATATTTCTAACTTACCCAAAGTCTCCATCAAAGTAAATGGCTCGTTCCTCAATAAGATCTATTACCCCTTTAAAATCACCCTCCAAACCAATGGGTATCTGCACAAATGCTGCATTATGACTCAGTTTAGACCTGAAAAATAAAAATACATAGTTTACTTCATTTTTTTCTCCCTAAATCCCTTTGAAACAACAAAAATACATCAATGGCAGATGTTGTGGAACTGGGAGGGAAGATATAAAACAGTTGGGAACAGCCAAACTCATCAAGCTCAGAAAGCCAAAACCCTATTTAGGCAACAAAAGAACTCTAAAATAAGTGTTTTCCCATCAGACCCCCAGAATACTCTGGATTAAAAACAGAACAAGTCAATGGTGGTTGGTCAGAAAATTAAAGCACAGTGGGAAGTGGGATCACCTTGCCCAACTCTCATTCTTAGACCAGCTGACTTTAGCAAGCAGACTATAACTAGCTGAAGAGGAAATTCTTAGAGGAGACCTCTAAGCGTGTGTGTTAAAAATCAGACACTCACCGTTCGGTTGTACCCTTTTTTTAAATTTTTTTTAAAATTTTTATTTTTTTTTAACGTTTATTTATTTTTGAGACAGAGAGAGACACAGCATGAACGGGGAGGAGCAGAGAGAGAGGGACACACAGAATCGGAAGCAGGCTCCAGGCTCTGAGCCATCAGCCCAGAGCCCGACGCGGGGCTCGAACTCACGGACCACGAGATCGTGACCCGAGCTGAAGTCGGACGCTTAACGGACTGAGCCACCCAGGCGCCCCTAGGTTGTACCCTTTATCAGACACAATCACTGAAGGGATTCAGTATCAGGAATTCTCACTCAAGAAGAAATACGCTCTAGCTATCATTGTTAAGTCTACACTCTAGGCTCCCATGTATAGCTATGGATAGGTAACTAAGAATCACCAAATATTTGAAGGTTACCAATAACTTAAAAGAGAGGTGTGAGCTCAAAAACCAGTACTAAATTCCAAGGAGAGAGTTACTAAAAGAAAAGAAAATGTAAAGACCTGAGAAGTAATCATCCCTATTAATAAAGATGTTGCGATAAAACAGGATTATGGAAATTAATTACACAATTGCAGAAAAAGAAAAACAACAGGCTAAATAACAGAAGGGACACACATGACTATCAGATTTATGATCTGGAAGACTGACCTCAAGAATTCTCTCATAACCCAATCCAAAATGAGAAGAGAAAAAGATGTAGGAGAATGTACGGTAGAAAAGTTAATACATGGACACCGGAACCAGAAGAACAGATGTTAGAATTTCTAACATCTGTTTAATGAGAGATACAGAATGCAGATAAAAGGGAGTAGAGCAGAAAAAGAACCGCAGTAGTCAAATGCTAAAAGAGAATTTTCCTGGAATTCAGACAAAGACTTGGTGGAAACAGTCCATCTCTTGCCAAGCACAAGTAAAATAGAAGTAATAAGGACAAAAACTGAAAACACTTTGTTTTGCCAGGAAAATATTACAAATACCCAATAAAGAAGAATTTCATGTTCATATTCCCAAATACAATCACTTCCATCAGGCACACACAGCAATGCTGTCACTTGGAAGTTCCTCAATACCGATCTTGTCACCAGACACATCATTCTTTGTCTCTCTACTACTACAAACTTGACTGTCTATTTTCATCAGCTCCGCCATGTGAATTGTAGCTAGGAACTTGGCAGCTACATTTACACGTCTACAAAAAGTGCAAAGTGAAACTTCAACTCTTTTGAAAGGCTATGTGAAATATACAGTATTGGGCAAAAGGTACAATGCTACAACTACTACTAAATTACATCTGCTACAGAAAGGAAGTGTTACTCTTAGCAAATATGTTACCATATGAACCCAAGGGACTATATACCATACTATTTATGGATGTTAATTAAAATTCCTCATGTAAAGGTTAAAATAGGTGATGATTCTCTAGGTTTGTCTAAATATATAAAGTACTTTCAAAATCTACTCTAGATTACTTCTCTAATCACTGCAAAACAGTGAATTGCCAGAGTGTTTTCTGAACTCACCTTAAACCTCCCTACAGTTTAAGTCCTATTTTCCCCGTTTTACAGAGAAGGCAGTTGATGAGATTACAACCACAAAACAAACTATTGACATCAATCTTTCTTTCTTTAAGTTTTTAAAAAATGTTTTATTTATTTTTGAGAAAGACAGAGACAGAGTATAAGTGGGGAGGGTCAGAGAGGAAGACACAGAATCTGAAGCAGGCTCCAGGCTTTGAGCCAGCACAGAGCCCAACACAGGGCTTGAACTCCTGAACCATGACCTGAGCTGAAGTCAGATGCTTAACTGACTGAGCCACCCAGGCACCCCTGACTTCAGTGTTTCTTTTACTAAATGACTCACATAAATATATTTTTTAGAGAAAAAAAAATTAGGAATAAAGCTTAATGACACTGAATTAATTGTCCTTCTGGACGTAAACTTTCTTATCCAGATCATCCCAGCCCCTCCTGTTCTAAGGCTCAGTACCTCATTTGCTGCAGGGCCCTGGCTGGGTTGGAGCCCGTTCGGTCCAATTTGTTAATGAAAGTTAGAAATGGAACATTATAGCGCTTCATCTGACGATTAACAGTCATGGTCTGGCACTGCACCCCTCCAACAGCACAGAGAACAAGGACTGCACCATCCAACACTCTCAGGGCCCTTTCAACTTCTATTGTGAAGTCCACGTGTCCTAAATGAGACAAAGTGTGTGAGGTCTTAAAGAGCAGTATGAATTTTTATAACATGCACAATTATACGTTTTTATATCTCTGCTCAGGACATAAGCCTTCTAATTAAAATGTGGATTTTTTCAACCACCATACCATTTACTAACCATAAGGTCCAGGGACCCAACTCTTCAAAAAACTCTAGGGTACAGGGCACCTTTAAATCAGCTACAGCTTGTAACAAGCAAGAACCTTCCTGCTCACAGTTTATTTGTACTATTTTTCAAGGGAACCACATAAGGATGAAGTGCTCTAGGTCCCAAGTCAGATTTCTCTAACAGGAATTCACAGTCACACTTTTGAGTATTATTTGACACTCAAAAATGAGCTGGGTCATAATAAAGAACTAAATGTGCTTTTGTCAAAACAAGCTGCAATAAAACCAAGAATTCAGCTCACCAGGAGTATCTATAATGTTGATATTGACATCTTTCCACATGGTATAGGTGGCTGCTGACTGAATAGTGATTCCTCTTTGTCTCTCTAGTTCCATGGAATCCATGACAGCACCAACTCCATCTTTACCTTTCACCTAAACACAAACACAGCAACTCAGATTTTCCTGTCCCTGCATCCCGAGGAGGAGAGAAATCTTTACTGAGAAGGAACTAGAACACACACAGTTAACTGATGCAATTTTCCGAGAAGGCTATCACCAAACCATGTCTTGTGAAATAGAAGAGTGATTCCAGGTTTTGCCCTCTATTTACTACCTCTCTTTTCATTGTTATTCTCAGCACTACTAACATAGAGCAATCACCTCAGTCTTAGAGCCAACCTTGTTTCCTTCACACTGTTCCTGCCCACCAGGCTTGTGGTAGTCCATGAGCAGAAGTTCAGAGAACAGATTTTTCCCTGCTCTACTACATGTGGATTTTGAGTCCTAGGTGGGAAGGATTGAGCTTTCCACGTACTTGTGATTTAACAAGATGAGATTCCTCTGAAGAAATGGAAAGTTATTCAATGTTACGGTCATTTCTTCAGGAGACTTTAAAGTTACAAAAAATCGTTTTTTCTTTTCTTTTCTTTTCCCCTCTCTCTCAGTAATGTATCTGTCTGCCCACCATCAGGTCACAGCTGAGGTGGGGCCTGACCACGCCTCCAGATCCAAATGTGGATTCTATGCCCAAGGCAGCAGGTGAGCCTGGGCACACCAGGGGAAGTGCTGTTGGGCTGCCAGCACTTTGAGAAGTCCCAAGGGCCACCCTCCCCCCCCAAAGCCCCACTCGTTGGGCAGGTGGGAGGGGAGCTGCACCCCATGTGTGGGGGCACAGGCCTCATCCTCACAGCAGGCAGGCAGAAAGCACAAGGAGGCCCCTGCCTCACAAAGGGCATTTATGGAAACGAGGGGGGTGGGGGCTGGTGCAGAGTCTTCCCGCTGCAGCTGTGAGTTGCAGGGCTCGGACACAGTGTTCCAGGAGTCCATGTGGTGGCAATGCACTTCTGCTCCCAACTGTCCAGGGAGCCCCTGGCTTCCAGATGCACTTCCGGAAGCACTTGTCCTGCATCCTCCACAGCGGCTCCTGGGCCACAGCCACAGCAACCTGCACCTTCACCTGCTCCATGCTGAGCCCCGGATCCAGTCTGCCACTGCTGGACTCCCTAAATCTGAGCCCAAAGCACTCACCACTGCTCCACAAAATCCAAAAAAAATTTTTTTGACACGTGTATTTTGTAACTATAAACATCATACTACATACAGTTTTAAAGTGTTTTTCCACTTTATAAACATCTTTCCATAACATTAAAAATTATGTAAATACTACTTTAACAGCGGCTTAATACATCACATGACTTTTTAATTGAAGTATAATTAACGATGTTACATTAGTTGCAGGTGTAGACTTAACATTCCTCAAAGACAATTTACTGAGAATCTACACAGTGATGGTCTCTAGGAGGATTCCGCACAACCACACTGCAAGCCAGTATGAACTATCCCGTTTGTGGCAGGTCTCTGACTAAAGGTCCACTGTTACCATTCATTTAATCTTTCAGGTTTTGTAATGTTTATTAAATCGTAACGACCAAACAATTAAAACCAAGCTCTCGCTAACCTGGAATCAACCATGAACCACATACCTCATGCATCTTTGCAATTCTGCCAGTGTAGTAAAGCACTCGTTCTGTTAATGTAGTTTTCCCCGAATCAATGTGAGCTGAGATTCCAATATTTCGTATCTTTTCATTAGGAATCACCCCTGATGAACACCATCGGCAGACTTTCCAATTAACCTGAAAAAATAAGAGAGCTTGTATCAACGCACTTTCTGTAAGAGATAACAATGGGCAATTAGAATTTGGTTGGTTGGTATCTTTCTACCAATGTATCTCAACGTTTATTTATTTTTGGGAGAGAGAGAGACAGAGCATGAACAGGGGAGGGGCAGAGAGAGAGGGAGACACAGAATCGGAAACAGGCTCCAGGCTCTGAGCCATCAGCCCAGAGCCCGACGCGGGGCTCGAACTCACGGACCGCGAGATCGTGACCTGGCTGAAGTCGGACGCTTAACCCACTGCGCCACCCAGGCGCCCCTCTACCAATGTATCTCAATGGACACCAAACATCATTTGAGATAGCTTGGAAAGGCAAGAGAAGGAATGAACGCCTCAACCTATGACTCTTGTAACCAAAGGAGAAACTACAAGAGAAGACAGAAAGAATACACACATTCTTAACAATAAATAAATCTGAAAAGATATACAGGTATCAAAGAAGCTAATTAATTAAATAAAAGGGGACAGATACTTTTCCAAATGTTACAGGTTTGAAATTATACGCTGGGGCTGATAAAACCAGAAAGACAATTTCCAACAAGTACTTTAATAATAGTTTTTAGTTTAAATTTTACTTTCATTTTTTCCTCCTTCTCCCTTACTGTAGTGTAGTCCACAGCTAGCAAGGATGTTTGCAGTCTCCAAGGTAGCCTACGAAAAAATTTCCAATTCCTTCTGTACAAAAACAATCACTCTTTAAAAACTTTATTCTGGTGGGGGTGAGGGTAAGGGAGAATCCTGCATTTTATGGAATCAGGACACAACATAAGCCTCTATCTATAGGACTGCATATCCAAAATGTACTGCAGCACTTCTGAGGAAAGGAAAACAGGAGACCTTAGAAAAGGTGGGCAAATACTAAATGGTTTCTGGTGGACACTTAGACAAAATTCCATGAATATCAGCAAGGAAAGCAAACGATGTTTGCATAGTAGTAAAGGCTCAGGTCCTACCCAATCCTACTCCATTCTGCAACCTCCGCAAAAGACAGAAATGCAAAGAAAAGTACAGGGAAGTTTGAACGCCAAATCAAATAACCCAGCCCAAGGACACTGTGCAGTGAAAAGAGCACTAGATGATCAGTCAGAAGCCCGGAGTTCGAACCCTGAGCACACTAATTTTTCAGCTGGTCTGACCTTCACTCCAGTCACTTCTCTTTAAGGTATACCAAAAAGAGGCTTAACCATAATCGGTGGCCTTGTCCACTCTCCCAAGGTACTGAGACGCAGCTCACGAACGAGAACATGTGCCGGTACCGAAAGGCTTTTCAGCACTGAGGCACGACAGCTCCTTTCCGGAGCTGTCAGGAGGTCCCAGGGAAGAAATCACTGTTCCCTAGCCCTGGAGAACAGCGAAGTCCCGTCCGCAGTCCCTGGTTCGGTCTCGCCTCGTCGGGCTCTAGTACCTGCTTCCCCTGCCATCCCAGGCTGGCGGGGACCCGCGGGAGCGGCCCACGCCCCAGAGCCGCGGCGACGGCTGCTCCCAGCAACCTCATTGAGGCGAGCGCAGAACTGGTGTAAAGGTCCGGTGGCTCTGGGTCTGCTCAGCAACCAGCTCCGCAACTGGAAGCGTTCAAAGTCACGCCGGCAATCAGCGCCGGCAGAGCGCATCCGGGGCGAAGGACGCTAGGGAGGCGAGAGGAAGGGAAAGAGAGGCTTCCGGACTTCAGAGCCGAACAGCGCCTTCCAACACCTGGGCGCCCTCTGTAGACCTGGAAGAGAAAGTGTCGTCGCTTTGACCAGCTAACCAAACATTTGCATGCTCCCGGAAGGATGAAACCTTTGAAACATGGTTGTTTTGCGTATTCATTGTTGCTGTCATGTCTCTTGTGTAGGTTTGAAATTTTTCATAACTTCAAAAAAATCTGAAATAGATTCCCCTCCATCAAAGTGCCTAGAAGGTCCTGCTTGAACAGCCCCACCAAGATAGCAATGTGGAGAAATGTTTGTAACAATTTTAAGTGGAAAAAAATGCAAAATTATTATCTATGTCATTACAAATACAAAAAAAAAAAAAAAAAAAAAAAAAAAAAAAAAAAAAAAAAAAACGACCTGTAAGACATGACCTGAAAAGAACGTGGAAAAATTAACTATCAATTACAGGTTGTTTTTTTTTTTCTCATCTCAAGAAGTTCATTGTTTGATGTTAAATGTTACATGTTCAGTACTTATGGAAGACCGCATCTTTGACGATTCCACTTGGATGTCTTAGGAGTATCTCACACTCTGTACGTCTAAAACAGAGCTTCTGCTCTTCCTCCCAAAATCTTCTGCAGTCTTTATCTCGTGAATGGAAACTCCATTCGAGTTGCCCTGACCAAAAATGTTAGTCACTTCGACACCACTGACAGCTCTGGTGTAATCTGTCAGTTTATTCTATAGGCACCACCTTCAAAACTAGGTCTAGAACCTGACCTTGTCTCCCCACCTCTCAACACTGCCATCTCTCAACCGAATTGCTGTATAACAGATTTCCTAAAGGATCTCACTGCTTCTGCCCCAAGGCAGTTCAGTCTATTCTCAACACTGACTAGAGGGCTCCTTTTAAGCCAGACCATGTCATTTCTCTGATGAAAATACTCCAGTGAGTTCATTGTTCCTGTTATTTCTACTTGTAGGTTCAAAATTTTTCATAATTAAAAACAAAAATCTGCAATGGTTTCCCCTTCCCCTCAGAGAAAGTGCTGCCAAGGGCCCTGCTTGAGCAGCCAGGCTAACATGGCAGTATTTCCCTTGCTGGTTTTGCTCCAGCCACATTGGCCTCCTTGCTGGTCCTCATATGACCAGACTTTGCTCTTCCCTAAATAGTGTAGTAGCTTTTTCCTTTATTTTCTTCTCTCTGTTCAAATAGCCTTATCAGGGGCGCCTGGGTGGCGCAGTAGGTTAAGCGTCCGACTTCAGCCAGGTCACGATCTCGCGGTCCGTGAGTTCGAGCCCCGCGTCAGGCTCTGGGCTGATGGCTCAGAGCCTGGAGCCTGTTTCCGATTCTGTGTCTCCCTCTCTCTCTGCCCCTCCCCCGTTCATGCTCTGTCTCTCTCTGTCCCAAAAATAAATAAAAAACGTTGAAAAAAATAAAAACAAAAACAAATAGCCTTATCAATGAGGTGTTCCGTAAGGAACTCTTCTAAAACAGAGGGCTCCTCCCTTACTATCTTCCGATGCTGTTTCATTTTCCTTCCTTCCTATACCTGTTTATTGTCTGACTCTCCCAATGGGAATAAGTTCCATAAGCAGAGTGATTTGGTTTTGTTAATTGCTGTATCCCTTAGCATGTGTTAGGTGCTCCACAAGTATTTGTTAAATGAATGTGTGAATGAGAACAAATAAACAGAAATCAAATTACAAGAGCCAAGAAAAGAAAAACCAAAATCTCAATGATGAATTTCAAATTTACTTTTTGTAAATCATCCATGTATTAATTTGCAATAAAGGATTTGTAAGCAGATTTGAGGAATAAATCCATTAACGTTGAACATAACTTTAAAACATTTTTTATGGACTTTCAAAAATTTAGTCTTTATAAACCTTTATATGTATTTGTTTAATATATAAATTAAATACATAATTATGAAAATTATAATAAAATTAAACTTTAATAGTTTCTTTAAGTAAAAATTCATACTCATTATCTTGTGTGTATACATATATATTCATTTTTCTGTAATTATTATACCAAATATACTTAATTAAGCATTTTTAACCAAAGTAATCAACTTTACTCTAAAGAGAAAACTGAAAGGCAGAAAACCAAGAGCTGTCTAGCTAAATTTTTATGAGTACATATTATAGATTAAGTTTTAAAGTGGCAAAATACACATATACAATATCATCCAAAGCATTTCCACACTGTTAATTCATAGTCATTTTATAATGTATAATAAAATTGAAACTATCTCTAGTGACCAAAACCTTGTATCCATTTTTACTTAGAAATTGTCCAAGTTTCATCCAAGAATTAATTTAATTTTTTCCTAGGTCTAGAAAAGTTAACTGGGGATCTGAAAAATTACATTTTTAACTAACACATTCAGTCCTTATAATTGATAGTATTATCATAATCTTATAAGATTAAACCCCCCCTCCCCTTAGAAGACATCTGTGTTACAATTTTGTTTAAACATCATTTTATATTTTGTAATCTTAATGGAGTCAATGGTAACTTATACTTGACCCATAAGACCAATACAGGAAATTTGTAAAGTTGTTTTGGTTTTTTTTTTTTGAGAGACACACACAGAGTATGAGTGGGGGGGCGGGGTGGGGGGCAGCGAAAGAGGGAGACACAGAATCTGGAACAGGCTCTAGGCTCTGAGCTGTCCGCAAAGAGCCTGACCTGGGGCTTGAACTCAGGAACCGTGAGATCACGACCTGAGCTGAAGTTGGAACCTTAACCAACTGAGCCACCCAGGTGCCCCAGAAATTTGTAAACTTTAAATGAGAAGTTCAACCTTAGTTTTATATAAACTAGGAGATTTTATTAGCATTAATTTTATATAATAAAAACTGGAAGAAGACATATAGTTGATTTTAAATAGCCATTCATTCACCCAGATCCATCCACTTATCAGAAATATTTCATAAAGCTTTTTAAAAAAACATTTTATAAACTTTATATTCATAATCATTAAATCATATTTAAATCTTTCTCAATGTTTAGTTAGTTTTGAGACAGAGATAGAACATGAATGGGGGAGGGTCAGAGAGAGAGGGAGACAGAGAATCTGAAGCAGGCTCCAGGCTCCAAGCTGTCAGCACAGAGCCCAACGTGGGGATCAAACTCACGGACCGTGAGATCATGACATGAGCTGACGTTGGAGGCTTAACCAACTGAGCTACCAAGGCACCCCTCATTAAATCATATTTAAAAGCTCCTCTTTTATCTTTAATCATACTAACAAAATATATTTAACAAAAGCTATTACTTACACTGTCCATATTTTTATGCAAAAGCAGCACAAATAGTTTATAAGCTTTTTTCTCTTAGACATTTTAGATTGTTTATTTGGAGTAGATATTCCTAGATTGCACATATGACAGAATGACTTTTTTTTTAATTCATCTTTAAAAACTTTCAAGTGGGAGGAAAAAATAGGGAGAGAAGCAGAAAAAATGGTGAGCCAGATGGCATATTAAAAATTTTGAGTTTGAGGGGCACCTGGCTGACTCAGCGGTAGAGCAAGCAACTCTTGAGCTCAGCGTTGTAGGTTTGAGCCCTACATTGGGTGTAGAGATTACTTTAAAAAATTAAAAATCTTTAAAAAAATGTGAGGTTTGATGAGGTTTTTTGGGGGTGACAGATGGATTCGTGGGGTCCAGAGCTGACAACCAAGAAAGAATTCTTGAAGACATCTTTGGTGCAAAAAGATGATTTTATTTAAAGCATGGGGACAGGTCCCTTGGGCAGAAAGAGCTGCCCTGGGACCATGAAGAGAGACTGGTTTTATACCATGGAGTTGGGGGGAGGTAAAGTCCAGGGGAAGTTTCCAGTGAGATTTTCATCTGCTAAAGAAAACTCACAGGATACTGGAGGCCTAGCTATTGTCAAGCTAAGGTTGTTTTCCCTCTAGCAAAGCAGTATCACACATATCCCACCTGGGGATGGGGGTGGGGTGTTTGCGGACTGTCAGCTTGCCTTATGCTCCCTCATCAAGGTTGAACAATAATCTATTGGTATTAGGCAGTGGCCAAACAGGAAGTGGTTAGAAGGTCTCCACTAATTAGAGCTAAGGGAGACTTATAGAGAAGAGGCAAATTATTTATATTATTTATATATTATTTATTCATATTTATATTATTTATTATTATTTATTTATATTTATTATTTATAAAGCAATTATTTGTTTGGCTGTAGTTTAACTGGTTGCCTTATACGGGAAAGCCTAGTTGGCTATGATTAGATGTCTTTAGGTTTCAATTTCTTAACTTTGAGGCATTATAGGTTTGTTTTGGTTTGCTTACATGTACTACTAAAGCATTAAAGCCTCAGTCTAATAGTTTCCTTGTTTAATTAATAATATAAATATGAAAGTATTCCTGTAAAAGCTAATTACTTTCCCTCTTCAATACAGGATAAAGTTTAAATATAAGCCATACAAAGCTCTGAAGTATGGAAATAAAAGATGGCCAGTCTTCTACATAAAGAAAGTGGTCTCCTGTAGAGAAATAACACAAAGGCTCTCCTGAGGTTTTGTTTCTTTGATATTGTTCTTCAAGGTGCCTCTCAAGTGCAAGTCTTGTTTATTTCCAAGTTCCCCAGAATGGCCATTACAATTCTCTCCTAAATTATGCCAGGAGGTAGTACAAGTCTATTAGGTGACAAACCCATGAAAAACTGCCTGGTGTTCTATCAAATGTAAAACACTGCTATGTTTGTCTCAGGCTTTAACCCTAATGTTAAACCACATGACTACTGACCTGAGAAACATGGTTAGAAGGCAACATGGGTGGATAGAAGGTCTCTCCCAAAGCAAACTTCTCATGCAACTGACAAGACTGGGGAAAGTTTTCACAGACAAATAATATAAGATGGTGGGCAAGTAGAAGATAGGAGATGGTGTTTAAAGTCAAATTCACGAGAGGACACCAAAGTCTGATCAGAATCCCCAAACCCCAAGAGAAAATAAGCATAACACTGGGGACTAAGAGATCATCAGAACGCAAATTTACTGCAAGATCCACGTAATCAGGGACAGAGGGTTCTCAAGAGGTCTCAGATATGAACATTATTACCAAATTGAAAGTCCTAATACACTGCAGTCAGGGTCTTGGTCACACTTCAGTAGAATTTCCAATTTGCCCTAGCCCAATCAGCCTAAGACCACTGTCTTGGTCCATTCAGGCTGCTATGATAAAAATATCATAAACAGTCGGGGTGCCCAGGTGGCTCGGTTCATTGAGTGTCTGACTTCAGCTCAGGTCATGATCTCTCGCAGTTCACAAGTTCAAGCCCCATGTCAGGATCTGTGCTGACAGCACAGACAGAGCCCGGAGCCTGCTTCCAATTCTGTGTCTCCCTCTCTCTGCCCCTCTCCTGATGGCACTCGGTCTCTCTCTCTCAAAAACAAATAAACATTAAAAGAATACCATAAACAATATATTGGCTTATAGAAACTGTAATTAATAGAAAGGGAAAGGGAGCTCTCTGTAGTCTCTGTTATAAAAGCACTAATCCTATTCATGAGTCTGTACCCTCATGACTTAGTCACCTCCCCAAAGCAAGATCTCCAAATACCATCATATTGCCACATTTAGGGCACCATCTGATTCCAGTGTGCTCCTGCCCTGCCCTGTAATAAAGGATAATGGAGTCATGAAGGCAGAGTAATGAAAACCTATTACTGAGACTGCCAGGTACCAGGAAAAACTCTAATGTGGCAAGGAGCCTAAGTAAGCAACTTGGCCTTATTGTCAAGGCCACATTCACCAAATAGTTACTATCTTTCCATTCCCAAAAGATCCAGGGTTCCAGAAAGATCAATTGTCATCCCCAAAGAAAAAATAATATGAACTACAAGCTACAGAGAGCCTTCCTTCCTATACTGGTTGGCCTCAGCAGTATATGGTAAAAATAATTCTGAAAAGAAGCAATTTCAGCATCATGTGAACATAAAGAATTGACATTTAATCTCCATATGTCACATATTTTTACAAGTGGCCCCTTATGAAGCACTGTGGCATAAGAAGAAATATATAACTTAATTTTTATTTACTTTCTATGGTAAACAAATTGGGAGGAAAAAAATAGCTATGGATGCTCTAATTGCTATATGATGTATAAAAGTTATACTGTTTTAATGTATTTATTAAAATGTGTTTTCATACTTGAATATAATGATTAAAGTTATCACCAATGTAAGATTTAGGCAGAAGGAGAATAATTACAGTGTCGATTCTATTGGGATTTTGTTCTATCAACTGAATTTACGCAAAAGTGTTATTTCAAATTTATGCCTTATGACAACTTCCCAATATGTTATATTATTAGTACACTAAATTACGCGTAACAGGAGAATGTTAACATCTTTAATACACACCCACTTTTTGTTATAAAAATGAATTGACATGTATGCATCTTATTTTGGTAACTAATTAAAAGTATGAAACACCCTGACTGATATAATACAGACAATCAGGAGAGCATAAGCACAATCACATAGGTCTACTTCCAAAGTTAAAAAAAACAAGATGTTAAGATTATGAAGTGATAGTGGATTTTCTGTTCTTTTTTTCCCCCCTTGAAACAGAACTTAAGAGTTAAGATTTTATATTCTCATAAACTTCAAATCTAACTTCTATAAAAACAGATTAATGTTTGAATTCTAGAATAAAAGAGCTAAAGCTGAATTTTTAAATGGTATAAAAGAGAACAACTGATTTACTAAGTACCTTGCTCAAACACACAATCTCCTGTCTAAGAAATTTTGAGACAATCAATCATTCAAGTTTACAGAATACCAAATGCATTTTTCTAAATGTCACAAAAGGCTGAGTAGAGTTTCTCCAAGGACACTCCAACTTTAGAATGTTAACTGTGGAGACAGATTAAGCTGTTTGTAGGAAAGAAGAGCAGAAATATGCTACCTTAATAAGTTAAAGAGAAAGGTCAATATAAAGTCTGATGAATGTTAAAAATGTAATCTAGAACAAAAAAGAATATACTATAAAAGAAATTATAAGCCTAAAACTCATATATATTAGCAATTTTAAATCCCTTGAAATTTAGAATTGATCATTTTTCATGTAATTTATCAAAATAATAACTAATTTCTCATAAAACAGTACTAGGGTGCTTTGCTTTATTTTTTTTTAAATCTTTAAGCTAGCTGGCTACATAACACATAAAATTTGATTTAAATAATTTTATCTTTATTAACATCACTGTAGTATTATTAGTGAAAACCAAGACTATTTTTTTTACCATTTTACTTTCTTATAATTAATACATATGACGAAACTAGTTCTAAATTCAATCTGGAACATATAAAAGAACACATAACCAATAGGAAGATAACTGAGAAAGCAAAATCAGCTTTAAAAATCAGTATGTTTTAAAATAAAGAGTTTTATAAAAGTTTAGCAACTTACTTAAATTGTTGAAAACCAAAGTTTTATTCCTAAAGTAGGGACAATATAAAGCTAGCACTTCCAAGATCATTCAGATATCAGAAGAAAGTTGTTAAGTACAGTACTGATTTAACAAGGGATTGGTCTTATGTGTATTACCCAGCACCATTACTTTCTCTGCTAAAACAATCAAAACTAAACAAATCAACTGCAAGGTTATTTATTTTTTGTTGATTTTCACAGGTGATCCTTTGATGTTGAGTTTGTCCACAAAAACATTTGATCTTCTTCCATGTTCAATGGCTGGACTTTGATGAGGTTTCTCCCTGAGAAATAGAATATGAACATTAATACCATTTTTTAAATGGCCAATGGTTTACAATTCAATACAAACATGATAAAACCACTGTAATTTATAGAGTTTTATCTAAAAATTCAATAATAGCTTTCAAAAACACATGGGAGGGGTGCCTGGGTGGCTCAGTTGGTTGAGCGTCCGACTTCAGCTCAGGTAATGATCTCACAGTCTGTGAGTTCGAGCCCTGAGTCAGGCTCCTGTGCTGACAGCTCAGACCCTGGAGCCTGCTTCAAATTCTGGGTCTCCCTCTCTCTCTGCCCCTCCCCCACCCATGCTCTGTCTCTCATTCTCTCTGTCAAAAATAAATAAACATTAAAAAAAATTTTTTTAAAAAGCAAAACACATGGGAGACTATTTCATTAACATTTAAGAAAGCAACAGCTACTTTCCTGAGATGTTATCTGACATGCTAGCCACTAGCCACGTTATTTAAATTTAAATTAATTAAAATAAAATAAAGTTTAAAATTCAGTTCCTCAGTTGCCTCAGCCATATTTCAAGTGTGGTTTAATAGCCACATGTGGCTAGAGGCTACCATATTGGATGATATAGATACATAACATTTTTGTCATTGCAGGAAATCATTTCAGAAAGTTCTATTAGACAATACTAGTTTACAAAAAATGCCACTGATGGGGCCACAGATGTAAGATCATCTATAAAGAACATGTTTTTGGGGTGCCTGGGTGGCTCAGTCGGTTAAGCATCCGACTTCGGCTCAGGTCATGATCGCACAGTCCGTGAGTTTGAGCCCCGTGTCGGGCTCTGTGCTGATAGCTCGGAGCCTGGAGCCTGCTTCCGATTCTGTGTCTCCCTCTCTCTGACCCTTCCCCGTTCATGCTCTGTCTCTCTCTGTGTCAAAAATAAATAAACATTAAAAAAAATTAAAAAAAAAAAAAGAACATGTTTTCTCTAACAGGGACCTGGATTTCATAATCATAATTAGCACTGTAAAGTTTTTATCAACAAACTTTTCAAAGTGAGACAAATATTGTCTAAAAGTAACATGGGAGCAAATTTTCTATAGAAAATATTAGGGCTCTAAGTTCCTAAATAAGTAATTTAAAATAAAAGATGCTGGCACATGACACTCTGCACAAGGCTTCGATTTACTTGGTACCCACTTGTCCATCGCTCGTTCTGTGAAGCCCTCCACCTTCTGCAGCAATCCTCCACTCTCTTATGGCCTAGAATAGATTTCTGTTTTAAGGCCTGGTGAAGCCTCTCTCTCTCTCTCAAGTGTAATTTTAATAGGAATTAGGTATTGTTTTCCATTTTTTCCCCAGAGAACCAAATTAAATTCTAACTCTACCATACACATTAAATGTACAAAAATCTCTAATCTTTAAGGTATGGCTTCAGCATATTTATATTTCACAGCTATTCCAAAAGGTAATCCCAAAGAAGGCTAAAGTTTTTGAAAAATTCTTCCAAAATATCTAATATCTAATACCTAATATAGGTGCAGATATTGTTTATTATACAAGTGTCTAAAAATGCATTTGCCATTGACTTGTTAGGGAAGTTTGTTAAGCCTTTCCAATAGAGCCCCTCTCCCCTTATCATATCTCTAGACACCAATATGTTCACCTGGCATGAAATATATGACTCCTACTCTATCTAGACTAAAAACTGTTTTACAAAAATAACTATAATATATCACACTTCCTTAGAAGGATTTTAGCCCCTATCTTCTGAGGCATAATTTGCTAGTGAGTTACTAGTGATACAATCTTAAAATATTATTGGTTTTTAGATACAAATTCAAATTTGTGTGGCATACTCAGATATAATGTAAAATTATTATATTCTTCACAAAATATACTGTTGATATAAACAACAGATGTTAATCAAAACTTCCTGATACAGAGGTAAAATTTCATAACTTTTCTTCTAATTCTTCTTTAAAAAGCACAATTTATTTTAGAAATAACTTTTACCTTCTTTTAAGTTCTCGGGAGCCTGAATTCTCATGACTAACACTTCGCATCTTAGGGTTTTCCACATGGCGCCACTGTCCCGCTGGTCTGTACTTCAAAATCTCATTCTGCCATTCATCATCAAAAGCGTGAGCATCACCTGCATTAAATATCAAAATAAAGGGGCAAGTATTAAGATATCAACTGTCAGTAAATGCTTTGTTTCCACATACTTGATTCTGGCTTTGTGCTTCTATCATCTAACCTCAAGATAGATGCAGGGAAGTGCTCCAAATATAAAGGTCTTTGACTCAGGGTAATACTTCCTTTTTTGTTTGTCCCTCTTATTCCTATTGACAATTTGGTTATTGACGATCTGGTCTTTCATGCATCTGCCTGGATATCATATTATTCCACCCAATGGACCCTTTGACCAAATCATACTGATTCACAGTCTTTTTTGGGGGGTCGTCATCTGGTGAACATGCTTTTCCTCTGTACTTGGAAACTCCTTCAATAACAAGCACTTCCTATTAACCTCACCATTTTCCTACATAACTTGGCCTAACACACAAGCTTCTGTTGTCAATTTCCTGATAGGTTGCACATCTTGACTGTCAATTTATGTTGTTATGAAGTAGGTAATCTGACTTTGATAATAACAGCTGTTAAATGGTAATACTGTTCTTCCAGATGGCCTTTATAATGTATGTGTTCTTTCACTAAATTTTTCCTCAACATGTTAATTATTGTGAAGTACTCTTCATATGTTTAACTATGACAAAACTACAAAGGTTAAAATTAAAGAAAGGTTAAGATGTAACTTCCATCTCATCGCCGAAGAATAATTTTATCAACCCAACCTTAAGAGAATTTCTTTTACTAAAATCGTAATTTAAACCCTTTATTAAGACAAAACACTTTTTGAAAATGCTTTTTGAAAATGAGAGATGAATATAACCCAAAAACTACAGTGACAAGAGTTAGGACACTGAAAGGACTTAAATGCATTGAAGAATGAATATAAAATCTAGAAAATGTAAAGACTTATTTGATATATACATGATATACTATCTAACAGTACAAGGAATTAAAATCTTATCTATACAAAACTTCAAGTGTCTGCCAGTAAAGAATGGTTTAAATAAAATATGGCCTATTCAGGATAAAACTTTTAGGTAACCATTTAGAATATTTTTGAAAGACAACATCATAGGTAATTGCTTTCACAATTATAATGGTGAATTAAAATAAGCACAATATAAACTAGACAATAAAATACTAATTAAAAAAAAGTTTATGTGTTTATATATACATAAAACTATTAAGAAGAAATATAGTAAAACAGTAATAATGGTTATTTGAGGTTGTGATTATAGATAATTTTAATTTTCTTCTTTCTTCATTTTTTAAATATACCCCAGAAATATTAAAAAACTCATTTTGCCTACTGACAGTCTTACCAAATGACAATTCAAAAGATTGCATTTCCAAGTATAAAGCAAAAAATAAGTAACATTACCAAAACCACTGTAAAAAACAGATCTACTATGAAACAATGAATACACAATTTTATTACTTTGATAAGGTAGTCCATACACGTACTATTCATAACCTACCTCAAAAGGACATCTTATGAAATGTTTCTACAGAAAACATTCAAGTTCTACCAGTACAGCTGCTGTTTTAAGAGGAAGAATGCTACTTTCTGTGACAACTTACTTTCATTCATATTGATGAACTCTTGATTGACCTCTTCGTCTCCAGTTTTGCTGTTCTTTGACTTTTTAATGACATGAGCTCTGTCGTGAAGATGATGACCAACAGCCATTTTTTCTAGTCCACTGTCAGAATCTCTCAATGCTCTCCTAGTTTCCTTTATCTATAAAAGTGAGTTATTATTTAAATATATATAGAATATTTATATTTCTAAATTTCTCAGGACCTCTTTACCTATAGAGGTAAGACCATAAATCTACAGCTGCAAAAATACTGGGTACTCAGTTCCCCTGCTAAGTTGCAGTGAAACTGTGATAATAGTTCTCTGATATTTCCTGGACTGCTCAAAATTAAAATGTCTAGGGCAAATAGAACCAATATAATCTAACCTTTTTTTCTAAATTGTAATCAAATATTAAAACAAATAACTTAATTATATAAAACTTAGTGCCTTCAACACTGTCCTTAACAAAGTAATAGTTAGGAGTACATGCTAGCATTCCTACAAATAAAGGCAACTAATTATTCAGTAGTCATGTTGATGGGCTTGAAATCTCATGGCTCCTACATATCAACTCTATGGGTCATTAGAATATTAGTGATAGCCAAAGACTATTAATAGTAGCATGGTTTGCTGTAGGATGTCTATAAATAAATTGCTTACATTTAAGATGCATGTCACTTATAGCAAGTTAAAATGAAAATGTCTGCCCTATGGCAAGAGCATCATTAAAAGGTATGTCTTCATATGTAAGAACTAAAAAATGAACTACTCACACCTATTAAATAGGCAAACCTAATTTTTTTTTTTACTGTAAGTACTAACAAGGAAGTGTAGGAATGGAAGCTCATTATAAGACTTTCTGGGAGCCAACTGTTTCAATCGCTGTGTGATAGTAATTTAGTAATTTCTAGGAAAAGATGAAGGCACTCACCTCCTACAAACCAACAATAACATTCCTAGACCTTTTGCACAAAGAGACATGTATAAAGATAAGTAAGTGAGAAATTAGAAATATCTATCAACAGAAAAATAGATTCAAAACTGTGGTATATTCATATTTTAGATAATATATAGAAGTCAAAATAAAGAAACAGCTGCACGTATCAACTCGAATAAATCTCAGAAGCATATTACTGAGCAAAGTCAAGTTGCAGAGGACACACACAGCATGAACCCATTTATATAAAGTTTAGAAACCCATAAAATAATTCATTATATTGTTTTTGAAGCATATGTAAGTAATAAAATTGTAAAAATATACATCAGAAAAAGTTCCAGATATAGGAAAATGGTTCTTTTTGGGGGAGAAAGTAAAAGGGAAAAGGAACCAGGGAGGGATGAGTGCATGGAAACTTAAACTGCATCTGTAACATTTTTGCTTAAAAAGAAAACAAAGCAAGAGACAACGTAAAGCAAATAGAGAAAAACTTTATGATTTAACTAAACTGAGTGGAAGGAATATGGGTATTTATTATATTATTTTCTATATATTTTCTGTACACTTGTATTTTATGAGTTAAAAAATTCATTTACTTCAGATATAAATTAAAAATTGACACTTATTTCACAAAACAAAGACTTTTTTCAGGTCTACTTACCTGGTCAAGATGTAAAGGTAATAACAAACATCAATAATAGAAATTTACATGAAAAAGGCACGTGAGGTGGGGTTGGGGAGACAAAAATTGCCTTAAACTAAGGAAAGGCAGCTAGCATTACTGTTTTTCAGAGTGATATGGTGTCTTCTCCCCCTCATCCCTACTCCCAAAGAACTGTATCAAGCTTTAATAATTAAAATATGACATAGGTGATGTATCATTCCAAATTTTATAAAGCTCCAAGAATGCTCAGAAAATACTTACTCCTCCTGGAGCCCTACGGGTTTGAGTCGAGGCCTGGAAAACCTTTGGTGGTTCATCTCCTACTTTGGAATAAGTCATAATTGAGGAAGAACTAAATGAATGTCCATTTGGATCCAGTGAAAGGTGACCCTAGAGGTAAGTATAAAATGTAAATCCAGAGAGTTTAGTCAAATATGAAGACTTATGTCAGAGGATTCAGGTAAGTAACAATACTAGCTAGACATTCTACTAAGGCTATGGTGTATCCAAATTAGCACCTCCAGGAAGGTCCTAATCTCCTTCCATAGTAGGTACCAATTTTCACTCTTCTTGTGAGGAATAATAACAAGTGATTCACTCATAGATCCTGAAGTCTTTGAGATCACAGACTTGTAGCTTAGATTTAAATATAAACGCTGTGCCCTGAGGCCTATGATACTATTATAGTTAGTGGTTGACCCTTGTGTGTAATTTTGCCAACAGTGAACCAACTAGCCATATACCAAGAAGTTTTACACCTCCTGTGGGTACCAGATTGCTAGATTACTAATGTCATTAATAATGCCTTAGATTTGGACATTCTGAAATGATCCTTAGATTCTAAACTGGATGACTAAAATAATATGAGTCTTCTTCATCAATATGAAGTTATTATTATTTTTTTTTGATGTTAATAGTACAAGTAGAAAAGTAAGAGTATTAGTACTAGCTTGTAACTATTTGGATTGCATGGATCTAATCCAGTGATTAACATCACTCCTAAAATGTCTGTTTTCAGTTTTTTAGAAAAACAATACAAAACACTAAAAATTTCCTAGGTGCTACAAATCTTTTTAAGTAGACAAGTTACAAATAATTTAAAAATCTAAATTCATATAAAATGTCCATTTACAATAGTGACCTTCAGCAGAACAAATGTTTTTGAGGTTGTTTAATTTTGAAAGTTAATTAATGCTATTTTTCAAACTCATAGTTTGTAAAATCAATTTGGTAGGTTGTGACCAGGATTTTTAAAATATGAACTAAAACAGAAAATATTGGCACACTCTGTAAATAGTATGATCATTTTCTCGCAAAACTTTTATTTCAGGTATATTTTTATAGTACACAAGTATTGTGTACTGGGTCATACTGTAAGATATATTTTTCAACCACTGTGGACCATGATTAAAAAAAAGTTGAGGGGTGACTGGGTGGCTCAGTCGGTTCAGCGTCCAACTTCGGCTTAGGTCATGATCTCATGGTTCGTGAGTTCGAGCCCCATGTCGGGCTCTGTGCTGACAGCTCGGAGCCTGGGGCCTGCTTCAGATTCTGTGTCTCCCTCTCTCTCTGTCCATCCCCCACTCATGCTCTGTCTCTCTGTCTTTCAAAAATAAATAAACATTAAAAAATTTAAAAAAAAATTGAAAGCCACTATAATATGGGTACCAATAACTGAAAATAATGTTCTCATCAATTTTTTAGTACTTACAAAGTTTCTTTGTAATTCCTGCATACTGTTTCGCATATTTAACATCATTCGGTCCATTGCCTGAAAAGGGTTGACATCTGTACGCTACAGGATATTAGGAAGTATGTTATTAACTATATGTACAACACAAAAGAAGCAAATCAACCTTCCCAAAACAGCTGAAATTTTTTTTTCTTGATTTTTGCAGTGGGATCTCATGCAGTAATCAACCAGGCAAAGATAATTTAAGGACTATACAAAAAAGTGATTTGTTAAGGAAAAAATGGAAGCATATATACAGAATCCCAAACAACCAACATATAAATAGAGAGTTGCAACACTATAAATTCATGCATACATACATGTATATATACATATACACACACATATATAAATGCATGAACATATACAGATAAACACACATTCATCAACTTTCTCAAAACACAATTTAGTTAATATTTAAATGCCGAGCAGTGTCTGGGCTGGGACAGCTCTAGAATAGAATAGTTTTCAAGTTTTTCCTTCCTCCCTCTCAATACAGCAACATGCAAATAAATAAAACTTGGGTATAAGATACCAATGTCACTTCCACTAGTACAACACAGGTGACAGAAACTGCCTGAGGGTGCAGGCTGTCCTTACATCATAAGAGGATCCAAGGGATAGAGGTTAATTCACTCTACTAGTAGGCCTGGAATTTGCCACCTACCATGGAAGGCTCAGTAGGGCATTCCCTTGAAGCATGACATATGCTTCTTTAGAATAATTAAGAATTGCTCTAGAATAGTGGTTTCTCAGCCAAGATTGACTTTGACTCTCTGGGGCATTTGTCAATAATTATACTCATTTTTGTGTGTCACAACCAAGGAGGTGTATGACTGTCATCTACTGAGTAAAGGCCAGGGACACTGCTAAAATCCTACAAAGCATAGGACAGTCCCCTACTCCCTAGAAAAAGAATTATCTGGCTTCAAATATCAATGGTGTCGGGTTGAGAAGCTCTGCTCTACAAAAATCAGTCACTGATTTTAGTTTTTATCACTAGAACACTCACCAGAACTTAAAAAATGAAGCACACATTTTAGTGTGTCACCCAATGCATTATTTACTATTATAAAACAGAAGTGTTTGATTCAAGGAACTTCTCCACTTAAACGGGAGTCTTCTGAATTCTGTAAGGGACTATAGTTTAATGCTAGTATTTCAGTCCCTCTGGAGATTCTTTTGCTGTATGCCAAGCTGGGACTCAATAAAGAATTATCAAAGGCCTGTCTCTATCTCTGCCTTCCATTGGGTTTTTATTACTTGTAACAATGGGAAATAGATAGGAAAACTAAATTCTTCTTTAGAACTTGCACTTATCACATCAGGGAACAAAGACACATTTGTGAGATACTGATACATATATCTTTGGGTACACAATGCACAATCTGCGTTTCAGGGATTCAACACAATTCAGGAAACATTCTGAATATTTTGTTTCAACACCAGGTTGAGAAATCAGGGCTGTATAAAAGACAAAATTCATGAGCGTTAGAAGGACTAGCCCAAGTAAGAAGACGAGAAGGAAGAAAAGATCAGATGTTTGGGTACATTCTGCCGTTTTCTCAATTCACTGCCACATCAGCCATTTAAAAATTTATCTGTACTTGCTGTGGGGTGGCCCAACACCTTGGGAGTGACAAAAAGTGGGGGGTACAAATTAGAGCTAAGATTCCAGTGAGCTCCTAAGGACTTTGGGAACTTTGAACACATGCTCTTCTCTCTGCCTGTAATGTTTTTATACTGGCTCTCAGCATATCCTCTCATGATTCAAGTATTACCTCCTCAGAAAGGTGACCGGTCTAAAGTAATCTCTGCTTCACCTTCCATCTGTCACTATATCATTACCCTGCTTCATCTCCTTTAGTGTACTTCAAAGTACTTTATCTGAAATTATTTTGTTATTTATTGCCTGTCTTCCTTCTATAGAAATAATTTCTGTGAAGGTAGGGTTATCTTCTCTGTTTTATTCACTACTATATTCTCAATACTTTCAAAATAATTCCTAGCACACAGGAGGACTCCCTAAACATTTGATGAATAAATGAACAAACTATCTCTAACTCAGCTCAAACTCATATATTCAATTGATACCAGATAAATTGTAAACCAGATAAACTATTGCCTCAAATGCAAAATATCCCAAACAGAAATGATCCTTTGACCACCCCTGTTCTCTTATCTGTTCATATGAGTATGAATGCTCTGTTCCTTAGCTCAATGGCATTCCCATCTAGCTAATTTCTCATGTCAAAAAATGGGCATAATACTTTCCTTTTCTCTCTTTACTGTTCCTTCAACACAAGAAATCCCCAAGTTCTACCCATTCACCTCTTTAACTCTCTTTCAAACGAGATTATTTCTCTTTATCACCATGGGCATTACCCAAGTAGAAGCCATTAGTAATATTTCCCAGAACACTTTAACAGCTTCCTGGCCTCTCTGTCTCCACTGTGGTCCCTTCTAGTCTTTCTTTCCCCTATAGGCACAATAATCTTTCAAAAATGAGAACCTGACTCTATTGCCATTTTGGTGAAAATTCATCAACTGCTTCCTTATTCTTCAGATAATATCCCCAGTTCTTACCAGCACAAAAAGAAGTCCCTGATTACCTCCGTATTTTTATCTGTATCTACTCTCCAACCCGTGCTCCAGGGCCAAGTGATCCTAAACATCTTTGAGCTTCCTAGCTAACAGGTCTTTGCACATGTGTTTTCTTCTGTGTTGAACACCCTTGTTCTCCCCCTCTCCCTGCTTTTCCTGGCTAACTCCTAATAATCTTTAAGGTTCTGGAAATCTCTGATTAACTTCCACCCCAACACCACAAAAGGTCTAGCTAGGTACCAGGCTTTTTTCTATCTGTGCTTCCACAGCACGCTGAACTTCTTGATCATTTTACTGATAAGTGAGCAGTTATAGCACAGAGTGAATTTGTTGTTTGTCCCACTAATAACTCTGGTGAGGAAGGACAAATATGGTATGTCAAACTTTAAGGAGACAAAGGGCTAAAGTCTAAAAAAGAAAATACACAAACTTTTGCATAAGAGCATAGATGCGTCCAAAGGAAATGTTCTAAGGTCATGCTATTCTCTGCTACTCCTTAGACTGCCTTTAAGTATGTTAGAAACTAGCATCACAGAAAACAAAGAAATAGCAGGAGAAAAGCTGGTTGCAGAGTAGCCATACTTGGACATGGGAAAGGAAAAGCAGCATGAGTAAGTTAACAACAGAGTGCTAGAAAAAGCAGCCAATCTGAGCTTCTGCAAATGTGCTCTTCTAGCTACAGTTTGGTACTTTTTTTATCTTTTGGAAAGTCACCACAGCATATGGAAGTGTCCAAACTTTCAAACACAACTATGGGGATCCCTTTTGTAAATCAAATGAATATTCATCTATTAAAATGCATTTTTTCTCTTTGAAGACTGATTTTATTTATGTTGATATGACTTAATTCAGAAAAAAACATGCCTGAACACTCTAAGATCAACACATGAAACAGGTTTCAGTACAAATTCTAAAAAGCCATTTTGAAATTAAGTGAAACTGCATGCCAATTCACTTTGCTTGAGTTAATGAAAAATACTTGTCAGAAAATACTGCTAAAATGGTTTGTGTCTCATGATACGAACCATACCACCAAAACTGCCAAAAGGCATAAGAGAATTCATTACCTAGGAAAAAAATCCAATTAATTTTAGTTATGATATGTATAATGATAATCCCTGAAAAAGAAAGAAATATACTACATAATCACATAGTTCTGAGCTGATAAAAATTTTAAACCATTTAATAAAAAATCCTCAACATAGATTTTAAAAATTACCTGCTTATTATTGTTATTCAAAACCATATACCACTCTTAAATATGACTGCTATATCCTATTTACCAAAAACAGTTGAAAGAAAAAGTCTTTGTTATAGATTAAGACAAACATTTCTCAAAGGAAATGCAAATTCACACCAAAGGTATAATGATTAAAGTATCATCTTTCCTTTGCTCAACTATTCCATATTTTTAAAAGATGAGTTGGGGCGCCTGGGTGGCTCAGTCGGTTAAGCGTCCGACTTCAGCTCAGGTCATGATCTCACAGTTCATGGGTTCGAGCCCTGTGTCAGGCTCTGTGCTGACAGCTCAGAGCCTGGAACCTGCTTCAGATTCTGTGTCTCCCTCTCTTTCTGCCCCTCCCTGGCTCGCACTCTGTCTCTCTCCCTCTCTGAAAAATAAATAAATATTAAAAAAAAAAAAGATGAGTTAACCTACCTATAACTGATTAAAAATAAGCAATTACCTACATTAATAACATTTCAAAAGATAAGTAGAGACATTGGGCAAAAAAATTAATGAGAATCTCCCAAGAACTAATATATAGAATAAAAAATATAGACTTCAGAAAGGATCACAAACACAGATTTAAAAATATATAGGGTCTTTGATAAAAAAATGTTAAGTATAATAAATGGAATTATCAAAATTAATAGTTCACAAATTGTATTCCTCAGTAGGTACAGATAAGTAAAAATAAAATTTAGGCAGATAAATATAAAAATTAAAAATTTTCATTACTTGGAGGTTTCAAATATTGAAAGTAAAATTTGAATTTTTGGGTAAATGGTATATGTAAGGTTTTACCATCATTCAGTGATAATTTTCTCCCTATGTAAGTTATGGTGAAAAATAGAGAAAATGTGTATTTATGTTAAATTGTATAATAAATTATATCAGATAATATATATGTATACTATATATTTAGAAGAGTAATCTCCAAAGTGCACTGAATGCACAAATAAAATTTCTCTATATCTTTTCGCTTCAAAGAAAAATATTAAATTTTTTTTATGTTTATTCATTTTTGAGAGACAGAGACAGAGTGAGAGCAGAGGAAGGAAAGAGAGAGAGGGAGACACAGAATCAGCAGGCTCCAGGGTCTGAGCTGTCAGCACAGTAGCCCTATGCAGGGCTCAAACCCACAAACCATGAGATCATGACCTGAGCTGAAGTCAGATGCTTAACCAACTGAGCCACCCAGGCGCCCCTAAAAGAAAAACATTTTAGATTGACTCTGGTGCCATCACTCAATCTAAATGTCTGATGGTCACATGTCATACCTTGAATTATAAATTGCTTAAATATATTTACAGATTAAATTATCTAGTTTTTAACAAAACTAATCCTCCCAAAATGGACAACTGGCTTAAAAATATCCCCATAGGAGCACCTGGGTGGCTCAGTTGGTTAAGTGTCTGACTCTTGGTTTCAGCTCAGGTCATGATCTCAAGGTTCCTGAGTTTGAGCCCAGCATAGGACTCCATGCTGACAGTGTGGAGCTCGCTTGGGATTCTCTCTCTCCCTCTCTCTTTGCCCCTCCCCCATTTGCTCATGTGCTCTCTCTCTCTCAAAAATAAACTTTAAAAAAAATAAAAAATCCCCATAAAATTATCATGAACTGAAGAAAATGCTAATAATATAAATAGGAAAACAGCATAGTTAGCTTCACCTACTTTTGTAGGAGTCTCTGCTTTCTTCATAAAATGGCTGATAGAGATGACAAATGTCAAGAAATGGGCCAAAAATTAAAAAAAAATATCAAGATGTCTAGCTGAAATGTAGATTTTCATCCACCATGCTTAAAAGCAACAGCTAATGGCTCACTGCTTAATCAAAAAATTTATAATTTCATGAGAAGAGAGAGAAGCTTTATATGAATTTTGATGAAAGTTCAAATGGACTAGGATAGCTAGCATGCTCAAAAAGCCTACTGTTTTCTTGGCTGTGCTCTTTTCAGATAGTAGCAGTCTTTCCCATCTTCTGCAGTCAATTTCTATTTGTTCCTACCTTCACATCTAGTTATAAAACACTGACTTAGAAAAGTTCAAGCTGGCAGAGAGGTCTTTTGTTGCTACTGTTTGTTTGGTTTTGCTTTAATTAATTTATTTTTGCTATTACATTTAGTCTTTCACACTTAGACATACACGTGTCAAATATATACACCCTACAGGATATAAGGAGAGCCAATCCTCACCAATATAAGTTATAAAGGCACACACACAAAAAAAATGAGTCTTGGCTAAAAGAGAGGCTAAATGTTCCTTGGAAAAATCTGCTGTAACCAATTTTATTTTTTTTTTTAATTTTTTTTTAACATTTATTTATTTTTGAGACAGAGAGAGACAGAGCATGAACGGGGGAGGGGCAGAGGGAGAGGGACACACAGAATCGGAAGCAGGCTCCAGGCTTTGAGCCATCAGCCCAGAGCCCGACGTGGGGCTGCAAGATCGTGACCTGAGCTGAAGTCG